TAAACCCCAAAGCCAAAACCAAGGCATCCCCGACCTGGCTCAGCTCCGGCGAGACATCCGAGGTGGCCCCCAGAGATCCGTTGCTCTCAAGGCCCTAATGGGGTTTAGGGTTTAGGGTTTAGGGTTTAGGTTGATGGGTTCATGTGGGAGTTTCCGAAAATTGGGGATACCTTATTTGGGGGTCCTTATAGCAAGGATCCTACAATTTAGGGTGCTAGATTAGGGTCCCCTACTGTTGATGTTACCCATAATAAGGAATATACCATAAATCCCATAGTTTAGGGTCCTTAAGGTAATGCAGGATTTATATCATCAACAGGTATCAGTACACACACACACACACTCTCTCTCTCTCTCTCTTTCTTTCTGCCGGGCTTAGGGGTCACGTCGTGACCCGCAGGCTCTTGGCCCGCCCGACCGCTTTTGGTTTTATTAAGCGGCCGGCTTTGGGGGTCCCTCATGACTACGGCAACGACTGCACGGCTTGCTCTGTGTTTCTGGGTTGGCACCCCCGAACACTAGAACGATGACACAACCCCAGCCTCATCTCCGCGCCCCTGCGGCTTTCATGCCGAGTTGGTGCCACCCCAATTTTTTAGGAGACCCCCATGCAAACGAGCGTTTTCCCACGCACTCTCTCTCTCTCTCTCTCTCTCTCTCTCTCTCTCTCTCTCTCTCTCTCTCTCTCTCACTCTCTCTCACTCTCTCTCACTCTCTCCCACTCTCTCTCACTCTCACTCTCATTCTCACTCTCTCTGTGTCTCTCTCTGTCTCTCAAGTTGGGTCCTTTCTCCATGGACCTCCTAACAGCAACCCCTGCTTGCGTGCTTCAGGGATGCAATGATTTCGGAATGCAGCTTTGGCTACTTGGGTGTTCAGCAGTTATAAGTGGGGGTTATAAGGCCCAAGTATAATTACTCTACTACCCATGAACCTCCAAGTATGTTAGGAGCTCAGCATTTGCCCGGCAAGCAAAGCAGCTTAGTCGTGCATGAACAGATACGAATGCACACATACATGCTAGTAGTAGTATGCAAGCTGCCATCGATGTCCAGTCTCATAAACATCGCTTCTCCCGTCCAGTAGAACCTAAACCCGGGTGCTGACCTGCTGACCTAATCTCTTAACCCTACCACCCTAAACCTAAACCCTGAAAGGTTACGATAACGGGCCTGGGCTCGGGGTATCAGGTAGGGATGAAGGGTTGGCTTCAGCCTAAACCTAAACAGTAAAGTAACCCAAAATCACCCTAAACAAAAACCGTGCTTCTGGTCTCTCTTCCCCTCACAGGCCTGGCTTACTCGAATCGGCTTGTCGCCGAGGTCAACCGCGACTGCCTCGGAATGGCTGACTCGAACCAGCTTGTCGCCCGGCTCCACCGCGACAGCCTCGAGCTTGGCCCAACTGGCCGCCTCGGAGACAGCAGTGCGGAACAAGTTGAGTTCAACATCGAAAAATAGCGAAACAAAATGATGACAACTGTCATATAGATAACACCAGTCGGAGAAGACAAAAGCTACAATGGCAATCAGAAGGCCTTCAAGCGCGGCACTGCGACGACTCCTGTAAATTAAACGGGGAACCCAGGACGGGTATCTCCCAGGACTTCTCATCCTTCGAATATTATGACTAGTGTCAGAAATGGTTTAGAATTACAACTAGTCATGACACTCAGAGTAATAACAGCAATAATAAAATATCAACAGGCAGAAGAGCTCTGAGGCTAAGAAGAATAATAGTCCTCATATGTCAAGGCAAAGGAGGGTGCAGCGTTCTGCAAGCTAGGTTGTTTTTGCAAACCTCCTTGGATCCCACCATTATGCTATACGTCATGGCGACCCCAAAAACCCGCGACAAAAACGTTGTAAAATTTGGTTTAGGGTTCAGGGTTTAGGGTGCAGGGATTAGGGTTTAGGGTTCAGGGATTAGGGTTTAGGGGTTTAGGGGTTTAGGGTTTAGGGTTTAGGGTTTAGCCCCCTCAAGGCTTCTTCGATGTAAGATAGACACATTTCTGATCCAAGCAGTCGAACCTGTGAGGAACAGCAAATAGACTTGTTGGGCCACAAGGACACCAAAGAGCACGGCATGTATCAATACATCAGTATCGGGGCTTGATACGCAAACAGTGTTGTGTGGTGTATTGCAGTATAACAGTATAACTAGAATGGACTGTAAGGGGATATGCTTGTGAACTTGAACCTCAAACCTGAACCCTGGAGATAAAGTCCCCAGAATAACAAATGAAACCGATACCGAAGCTAGGCGATCTCTGAAATCAGCCAGGTTAAACAAATCAAGACCAACCATATCCAATTGAGCCACAAGCGCTAAGCCCCATCTAGCACTCCATCTATCGATCTATCTGCCTAGCTGTCTATACATATACACATATTTACACTCTTATATCAAATTATATTATAGAAATAGTATTTCTATATAATGTATAAAAAAGTATACATATATATATATATATATAGAGATACATATAGATACATATAGAAGTAACGAGCGTGGGACCGGCCTCAAGAGCGAAATCAGCGTCTTCTTGGCCGGCCGGCGCACAAGGTGCCGAGCCCTTCAGGGCCGACATGTAAATTCTAGAGCTTAGAGCTTAGGGCTTAGGGCTTAGGGTTTAGGGTTTAGGGTTTAGGGGTTTTGGATTTAGGGCTTTGGGGGTTTAGGGTTTGGAGCTTAGGGCTTAGCGGTTTCGGGCTTACTTGTAGGGGTTTAGGGATGTCAGCTGTTGCAGTCAACACCTCAACTCCCCGAAGTGCGAGTCAGTTTTGATAACATGGAGGGACAAGTCGCAATCAAATACGGGGTTAGGGCCTCCAAATTCTGCAGACCCTGGCGCCTTCTCATCGCAGCCCGGCACATTGCCCATAGCGTCACCCCGTGACTGAAGGGACCCGGGTGTTGATGTCAGCTAGATTAAATAGAGCTGAAGACCCGAATTATAGAGGTGGCCATCATCCTCAGTTGCAGGGTCGAGGAGGTTTCGGCATGGTCGATCAGTCACACGTTCGGGTCCCTCTCAATGCGCTCCACGCATGTTGGAGGTCGTCGCAGCTTCTTTGTTGTTTATGAACACCATCGACTAAGGGTTTGAGGTTTGCCATGTGGAAATTACGGATCCTTGTCCCTCAGTCATGCAACGGTTTGTAGCGTTGCGTGCTCAGGGTCGCGTCTCTGACGTGGGTCTCCGGTCCTTCAAAAAGGAAACTCTAGTACAATGAAAGTATGTTCATGTGTATATGTATATATATATATATATGTACACATATACATAATTATATCCACAGATATACATATACATGTACATATGCATATACATATGCATATACATATGCATATACATATACATACACATGAACATATACATATACGAATACATATACATGTACATGTACATGTACATGTACATGTACATGTGTGTATATATATATACATATATATTTAATGTAACATGTATGTATGTATGTATGTACGTAGGTATGTATGCATGTATGTACGTGCTACATCTATGTATGAAGTAGATGCATGTGTTTTTGCACGCATGCTTGCGTGCATGAATCTGTTTGGTTATGTCTCATAACTGCGTATGGTTCCGTATGACAGGCGGACAGCCAGAAAGACTACCAGACAGAGCGACAGACAGCAGACAGAAGTTGCTTAGATAGCTAGATAGTTGGTCAGATTTGGTTAGGTAGACAGAAAAATCCATAGCAAAAGAGATAGGTAGGTAGCTCGACATTGTAAGCACATGTGCATGCATGTGAGGACGGATGATGGATGGATGAATGCGCTGCTATCGCTTCAGCAACACCACAGCCATCTTCACTGAAATGGTGTCATTGCACGATGCATGATGTACTTACCATCCTCTGCTGTCGACGACCTCTCTGGGGTGGGAACACCTATGGTCGGCTGGCTCGGTTCTTGTCGGGCAGTTATTTGTGCTTGCCAAGTATGGGGCGAAGGTTTGCTCTTGGACGTAAGGCTAGCTGCTCATGGCTCAAGAATTGAAGTTGATGGCGCATTGTTTGCAAGTTGCCGCTCATTCTGGGTTCCAAGGCTTCAACTGTTCTTGTCCCGACTGTAGCTTGTACTTCATGTTTCAGTTGCGCAGCCGCCGATAACTCAGCCTACCTGCAATCGAACCGAAAAGCACATGCAGCAGATTGTTCGAGTCCGAGGGGTTTTTGAGGTGCAAAGGTTTCGGACGTTAGGTTTTAGGGTTCAGGATGTAGGGGCTTAGGGTTTAGGATCTAGGGGTTGGTCGCAATGGGCTTAAGGTACCACCCGCCCCTGCAATATCGTCTTTAGCTCATGCCCCAGGCGCGGGAGTTGTCATCAATATACTAAACCAGAAATGAAGTCATAAAGCCCGAAGTCTTGAAACCCCTTGTCGTGTGGGGTCTTGAGGGCACCCTGAACTTTGGCCACCAGACCCATCGACGAGAGCTTTGGGAAACTCGCCCTCCTGTGCTGTCAAGCTATACGATGGTCAGGCCCCTCGTCATGAAGCCTGGGGCTAACCTACATGCGAAACCCAAGATCCCTAAAGTTGTCGTGTTGAACTTATATGTTGAGCCCTAAATCTCTAAAGCTACGGCCACAAGCCCTCGACCTTCAACCTTCCACCTCGAGATCCTACGACCTCTGGGAGGGTCGGAAAGTAAAAGACTTCTTTGGCGCATACCCTCCCTGAAACCGAGCATCGAAAACCCAGTACCTTGTAGACCTTCAGCCTTTTAACCCTAAGCTCTACACCCTGAACCCTAAACCCCAAAACTGCAGGACCTGAAACCTGCAATCTGAAGCCCTACAAGCCCCCTACTGTTTTTACTCTCCTTGCCCAGGACCCTAAATCCCGAACCCTGTAAGCCCTGAGCCTTAAACGAAACTCCTTGAACCCTCAACCCCTTTAGCTGCAAGCCTACAATCCGACGCTCAAACTTTGAGGACTAAACCCCTATATAATCCCCGCCCCTGATGTCCTGCATGTCATGCAGCAGTGCGACGGCGACTCGCCATTTCCCGCTCTTCGCCTGGCGCTCGGGTTCAGGGCTTTAAGTTTAGGGCTCAGGTTAATAAGGACCCCTAGGTATATACCCTTAATATAGCTATTATATACCCAGTATATAGCCCACTATAGGGTTCAGGGTTCGGCTATCTTCGAAATTCCACCCCGACTACATTAGCGAGCCTCCACCAACCCGTCCATCGAAAAATCCTCAACACCGACACGCATCTGCTCTTGCAGCTGCCTTGCATTGAATCAGGACACCATGCTCCAGCAGCTGCGCGTTCTCGCCCATCGCGACCGACGCGTCACTGGCACCGGAGGAGTCCGTGAAGTCAAAAGTGACATCCGGCCGATTCAAGTTCTGGACTGTTCCACAAACAGCCACAGTGCTGGGGACTGGCATGCTGCAGAGAGCCTCCACTTGACCTTCAAACAAGTTCATGTTCAAGTTGAGCGCCAGTGGGCCGGGCGGCAACACATCAACTCGAGAGTCCCCCGACGAGTGCAGCACGCGAAAAGCTTGCACCCTCGCAGGCTTTGGAGCAACCGCTCGAAAGACGGACAGCTTCAGCCTTGTAAAGATCGCTGGTGCAGAAAGTTCAGCCTCCTCGCCAACTGCACGGCCAAGTCGCGCCACGGCACCACCTGAGTGAACGCGGCACCATCCGAGACGACCAAGTTCAGCACCGACACTTGCGATCCTAGTAACAAGCAGAACTCTGGCCTACCAGCCTGCACTGCTGCTCTTGCTCAGCGCGCTCTCGCTCTCGCTCTCACTCTCGCTCTCACTCTCACTCTCGCTCTCTCACTCTCTCTGTCTCTCTCTCTCTCTCTCTCTCTCTCTCTCTCTCTTTCTCTCTCTCTGGATGCAGATCTAGATGTGGATATAGATATTGGGGCCACAGGCAGGGCCGAGGACTCAAGCCCTGGAAGGGTACGGAGATTCAGGCTGGGTGCTGCCCCCGCCCTTGGGGTGATATTCAGGGCCTTCAATGTCAAGTGCCATACGCCCCCTACACCCCAAAGCTCCGCATCCCCAAAGCCCGCCAAGGAGGCGGGATTGAGGGAGTGTCAGAATGGCGAGATCATGCGGCAGGGAAGGCTACAAGGCCCTGTTATGTAGGCTCTTCAGCAAGCTCGCACTAAGATATGTACTCCAGACCCAAGCAAATCCTAGGGAATCCTGGACCACTCATGCCCTGGAACTTCCAACAGTGTCCCCTGGGACCCAGACTGTAAACTATAGACCCTATGAAATAGACATTGTACCATAATCATAGTAAAGAAGCATCCAACATGGTAGTAGAAATTATTCCGGCCCCAATTGTGCAGACCTTAAGCCCTAAACCCTAAACCGAACATACTCCTGAAGCCCGAAACCCTGAACCCTAAATAACGAAATACCTTCAAGCCTAAACCCTAAACCCCTGAACCCCTAAACCCTAAAGCCCTAAACCTTAAGCCCGAAACCCTAAACTCTAAGCCCTATAGATCCCTTTTAAAGGGAGCCCTTTTAGATCCCTTTAAAGCCCCGGCAAAACAGCACTCAGGCGATTGACAAAACGAAGCCTCCAATGTAGGCGCCTTTTTATGTATTAGCATAGGGTTACTTTTCCTGGATCTAAAGGGGTTCCTTTATGGGTCCCTGTAAAGGGGTTTATAACGGCTACTACAAAGGCTTTTATAAAGTATAAGGGCCTTAATAATTAGAGTAGGGTTCCTTTAAAAGGGATCTAGAGGGGTTCCTTGAAGGGCACCTGTAAAGGGGCCTTTATGGGCTACTATAAGGGCCATGATAAGTATAAAGTACAGGAGCCGTACTAGTTGGAATAGGGTTCCTGTAAGGGCTCCTTCAAATGACTCTACAAGGGCTACCATAGTAAGGTGTATTATGAGGATTCAGTATAGGGGCCAACATAATTCCTTTAAAGGAGTCTATAAGAGCTGCCATAATAAGGGGTGTTATGAGGATTTGGTACAGGGGCCTGAATAATTGGACGAAGGTTTGGGGGGGGCCCCTCATTCTGATGATGGTATACTATACCCCCCAAACCCTATCTAATTGTCGAAGCCCCTATACTACCAGAAATTTGGGGTTTAAGGCTTTAGGGGGTTTAGGGGGTTTACGTGGTTTAAGAGTTTAAAGGTGTAGGGGTTTCTGGTGTCTACGGGTTTTCAGGGTTTAGGGAGTCGAGGGTTTAGGGCTCGGGGTTTGGAGCCAGGGGTTTGGGGTTGTAGGGTTCACGGTCTCCGGTTCAAGGCCCAAGCAAGGCCTGGACGTAGCCAAGTTTCAGGTTTCACAGAGTCAACCACTAAAAGTACTTGCAAAAATCGGTATGATGCAACTACGAGGCCTAAACCCCAAAACCCTAAACCCTAAACCCCAAACCCCCGAACTCCAAACCCTAAACCCCAAACCCAAAACCCCAAAACCTTGCTCTGCTCAAACCCTAGGGATCAAAATAGCCCAAAAGCCATATATAGTATGGTCTTTGGGCCCAAAAGCCTTAATATATGAGTCCTTAGATCCCTAGGGAAAGACCCGAAGGGCCGACGGAAGCGGAGATGGCGGAGTTGTAGGAAGCGGTGTCGGGCCTGGGGTCCCGCGGATCTTGCTTGGAGGGTCGGGGGACTTAGTAAGTGGTTATTTTAGGGACTTATAAGTACCATAACCCCAATTAGGGTCCCTTTTAGGGTACTTATAAGTCTACTTACTACCTACTTACTAAGTCCCCCGACCCTCCAGGTGGGGCTTCTGGGATTGCGTAAGCCTTGTTTAGGGGTTTATAGGGCTTATAGGGATTATAGGGTTTATAGGGTTTATCGGGTTTATAGGGCTCATAGGGTTTATAAGGTAGGGTTTCGGGGTTTAGGGGTTAGGAGGTTAGGGTTTAGGGGTTTAGGGGTTTAGCGTTTCTTTTTAGGGTTTAGGGGTTTAGGGTTAGGGGTTTAGGGTTCAGGGGGCTCAAAAAGATCATGTGGCCTTCGGGGCTTTTCGGATTCAGGGTTTGGGGTTTTGGGCATTGGGGGATTTCTGCTTCTGGCTGTACTAGGTTGCATTCAGACCTCATGGCTTCGTGGCTTCATAAAGCCCTGGGCAAAGGCTGTTCGACGCGAAATGTGCTGAACCTAGTTGTCCGATGCATTGACGAGCGACTGCTTGGCAAAAGCGAAAGCTCAGATACGGTCAGACCAGCATTGCAAAGCTTGGCCAGAATCACAAGGACTGCTATGTAAATGCACGTAGTTTTCCGGAAAGAGTCGCCCAGGTCTGGCAACAAGAATGCAGAGTTATGCCCTTGCAGGGTACCGAATGGACGGTCTCAGCGCTTAAGTCGCCTGAACTGACCGGAAAGTTTGCCTTGAAGGCTGAACCCTCAACCTCACAAACCCTAAACCCCTGCAGCACCCATGTAGAACCCTGGAAGAGGCCCTTCTGAAAATAGGGGACCCTAATATGGTACCCTAAATGGTAGGATCCTTATTATAGGGACTACAAAATATGGTACCAATATTTTCGGAATTCTTGCAGTATATAACCCACACTTCCTCTCCATCGAAACTCGTCGAGTTGAAGCGCCAGCGAGCGAAAAATAGCTTGGCCCAGGGTTCAGGGACAAATACAAAGGGCATTATCGAAGAATGAGGATAGGAGTGGGGTAGAGATTTGGGGTATATTCGAGATTCGAGTATGGACAAGTAAAGAGACCATAAGGGGATACTAATCATAATTCCGACCTCTTTCTGAGGCTTGGGCGCAGCGGCTTTCGTCGGGATATGACTCAGGACTCACAGGGGGTGCAGCACTCATCAGCAACGCCCCTATGTAAACCCTGAATCTAAAATCTAAACTCGAAAATCTCCTCCACACCCTAAACCCTAAACCCCTAAACCCCTAAACCCTAAACCCCCCACACCTGATACCCTGAGCTCATAAGATCTTGGGCTTCCGCTGGACTTCCTCCTCTCTCATCTCCTGGGACTTCAGGCCATGGAAGCTCCGGCTCCGGATTTTTGGGTTTTTCTTGGGCTTTAGGGGTTTGGAACCTGAGGTTTTGGGGATTCGAGCTTGGGCTTCAGGCTGGAAAAAAGTGTTTCGGATTTCGGGGGTTTCGGGGGGGTTGAGTTTAAGGGTTTAGGGTTTAGGGTTTAGGGTTTAGGGTTTAGGCTCTGAAAGGGCTTTCGAGCCGCGCACTGGGTACAAGGCGGGTTGGAAATGGAGCTCTGAGCGAAGGACAGAGAGACAACGAAACACACGCGCACAAAGGGGTTTAGGGCTTTGGGCTGTGCCCCTCGCAGAGACTCGGTGATTGTAGCTTGAGGGCAGAACCCAAACCCTAGGCGCTCTCTCCCTTCAAAAAAGTCTAAACCTCGAACCCACCTGCAGGAAGTGAAGGGCCCAAGGCCATTTCTTCGAAAACTCTGCCGCCGTGATCATAGAGTTGTAGGCAGCCACCTGTTTCAGAATCAGGGATTATAGGGCTTAGGTTTAGGATGCAGGGCCTTTAAGATTCACGCTTAGTGTTTGCAGTTGTGATGCCATACAGGAAATCCAATGTTTGCTGCTGTGGGTCAGACTTGCGTTTTGAACTGCGCACACTGCCTCTACCCCAACATACTAAGCCCGACACCTTAAGACCTTCCTACGTAGCCCTGGGTTAACCCTTAGTTCTTGAGTTTAATAACATAACCCTAAACCAAAAGTCGCGAACAAATCCCTGAACCCTGGAGCTTCAGCAAAACCCCAAGCCACTCACTCTCACGCACTCCCACACCGCTAAACCCAGAACCCTCCCTCATACACCCTGAACCCCCAAACGCCATCAACCAGAAACCCCTAAACCCCTAAACCTCTAGAAAATTTGGGAACCCGTTGATCGTCCGGTCCTGCCAAGCACGATGATGTGCGTGAATCTTGTGTAACGAAACAACCTGGCCAGAGAAGATGACCTCCCACCGTGTGACCGTGGCCCTGTGCCCTGCCAAGGTGCGTCTTCAGAATTGAGATCTGGCGAGGACTCAGGCTTTCGCACGGATCATTTCTCGTTCGCATTAAGATTTGCACATGCCCACTCGGCAATTCCTGCATCTGAATCAAACAAACCAGGATTGTTACCACGAGGCCCGCCTGTAATCAAAGCGGGATTCGGGGGAGGCTGTGGAACAGTTCTCCTCGCAAACACCGTATTCGCGCCAGGGTACGCGAAAAGGCCAGGGCTCTAAAATGAAGGCTTGGGACTTAAAGTTACAGTTTGGGACCTAAAATTAAGGACCTGGCTCTAAAATTGAAGTTTGGGACCTAAACCCAAGGACCGAAACTTTAAAATCAAGTTTTAAGAGCTTAAAATTGCGGCGTGTGATTTCTTATCAAGGACCCGTGCTCTACAACTAAAAACAGGTGATCAAAATCTAAGGTTTGGAATTAATTTCTACGGTTTGGGACCTAAAACTAAGCGCAGGGTTCTAAAATTAAAATTTGGAACCTAAAATTGAGGACTGGGGCTTTAAAATTAAGGTTTGGTACCTAAAATTGCGGTTTGGGTTCAAAAATTAGGGACCGGTGCTCCAAAATCGAGGTTTAGGACTCAAAAGAACCGTGCTCCAAGATTGAAGATTGAGAGCTAGACTTAAGGCCCGGGGCCAAAAAACAAAGAGATATGGGCTTGGCTAGGAGCCCTCAGAGCTTCGAGCCGGAACCTGGGCTCGAGCTGGCTGAAACCCAAAGGGTCCTATGTACCGATATAAAGGGAACTCCAGAAAGTTGGAATATGGTTTCAGGGTAGGATACCTTATAATATACCATGAAGGGTTTACAATAATGATATTCCAACTTTCTGGCTTCTACTGTACTAGAATGTAGGGTTTCCATATTCGGAACTACTATTATGACTTTGGGAAGTATCCACCAGAACAGTACATAGGACCCTTTGGGAAAGAGCTGAAGGGCACCGCAAACACTAAAGCGAGAAAATAGATTTAAAGTGTAGCGTCCAAGACGCAATCCCTGTAACAAAAACAGGTAACGCTTCGCTCTGGCAAAAGTGACTGGGGCACGTTGCGCAGTCCAAAATCTACGCTGGCGAACCCTAAACCCTAAACCCTAAAACCCTAAACCCTAAAACCCTAAACCCTAGACCCTCACAACCTAAAACCCTAAACCCTAAACCCTAAAACACTAAACCCTAGACCCTCACAACCTAAAGCCCTAAACCCTAAACCCTCAACCTAAAAACCCATGATCTCCCCGATAAACCCATGATCTCCCTGAACTGGGGTGCCCTACATCCATGTCCAGCCCTTTCTCCACCGTCTCCCCGAAAACGACGAGCCTCAGGAGCTGAAAGCCATGGGAATGCGAGTTTAGGGCTCTAGGCCCCATAGTAGTTCCTTTCTGGGACTACCTTATAGGAGTCTATATACGAACCCCCAAAAAGGAACTACTTTGGGGCCTCTGGGTAGGGCCTAATGCTTCAGGGCTCAAAGAAGGCTCTAGTCTAGGTTTGGGTTCTTTAAAGCCTCTTCTTGGATTCGGCAAAACGGTTCAACGTTGAGGCTTCAGGGCTTCCGGGTTGAAGGGAACCAGAGGTCAGGGCTCTTTGGGCTGCAGCCTGTCGCACTGTCAGTTCTTCGGTTGAAGATATAAATCCTGCATCACCCATAATAAGTAATATACCAGAAATCCCATAGTTTAGGGTCCTTAAGGTAATGCAGGGTTGGACCCAGGGAGTCAGAGAAGAGTTCTGGTTCCGGGCACTTGGGGGCTCAGAGCTTCCAGGAGGAAGCCCAAAATCCTAAACCCTGACCTAAAGCCCTGGCCCCAGCGAATCCCAAGTCGCAAGCCCACAAATCCCAAGTTACCCGACCCCGAAGTTAAGGCCCTAAACCTCCAAAGTTCCAATGTAGCAGGGAGATTTTGGCCCTGGGCGGCTTGGGTAGAGACGGGTTTGTAGTGTTTTACGACTTATTACTACTTACTACGGTGGCGGCGGCGCAAAGGTAATATAGGTGTTACAAAAATCTTTGCATGGCCTGATCACAGTAGGGCTTCTAGGGGTTCTATGAATGCTCGGTCTGCAACTAATTAATTCGGAATGAACTCCCCTTTTAGTGAGTATAAGCTTGGGCATTATTTTGCCTCAGCCTCAAGAATCGAACAGGCCCCGGCAAAGTTCTCTGGTTACTTTGCGGATGGCCAAACGCCAACCTCAAGAACACTAATTTCCCGCGAAAATCCGCAAACAAAAAGAAGCAGCAAGGCGAGAGAGAGAGAGAGAGAGAGAGCCTTGGCTGCACCAGGGTTTTGGAATTATAATTTAGGTGTTTGTTTGCAGGCCGCATTTTGCGACTGCATGGATCTATGCTTCGAAAAGCCCACTACGGGCTCAGGCGTTTACCTATAGTCTCTATTGTAGTACCTTTTAGGATTCTTAACATTAAATCCGAAAAAGGAGCGACCACGGAGACTATAGGTAGAAGTACTGGGAGGTTCATGGGTAGTTATATGTAGAGTCATATGCAGGATAACGAAACTTATAAACCATCTTAGGGGACTATTATAACCCCACTTATAACAAACCATGAACCTCCAAGTAGGGTTGAGGGTTAGTGTCAGTTACCATACTGGAATAGACCCTAAACCCTAAACCCTAAACCCTAAACCCTAAACCCTTCCGAGAGCAGGGCGCGCGCTCCCAGCGCCCAGCTGCCCCGAGGGCTGCGACCAGGGCGCCGTGGGCTTGCTGCTGGGGCGCCTCATGGAGGCTCATGGGTAGTTAGAAGTGGGGTTATAAGTAGGGTTCCCTTAAAGGGATCTACAGGGTTATAGGGTTTAGGGATTAGCAAGCAAGCGGACGAAGTCCCGTCGGACGTGCCTCAGCCCTTAGGCTGACAAAAACATGCTGTAATTAGAAGAGCCGGCTAGGTCGAAAGCTGGAAGCCTTGTCGTATCCACTCCCTACCATCAGGGTTTATGATAGGGGGACGACCAGCACCTCTGCACAATTTAGAGGGCTCAGCGGCCTCAACAGCAATCTCCAGAGCTTCGCTCTCCGGAAGGAAGTACCGGGCTGACTTGCAGATGGCTCTCCTTTCGAAACTACTGGCCTCCAAGATGCAGAAAGAAAGCGACTCACAGAAACCTGAAGGACGATTCCTAAGAGGTCCAGCCTTCCTCACAACAGGGGCTTTATGGAAATTTCTGCGCTCTCCAGGTTCAAAAGCTCCCGTGTCATCAAACAGCTCCCAATCGCCAGCTGGCTGTAACATGACAACCGCCTGCGCGAGGCAGCCATTCGGACAGTTCAGGTGCTCAAAGAGGCGGCGGGGAGTCCAAAAATGCTTATTAGGGTTTAGGGTAGTTATAAGTAGGGCTATAAGTAGGGTAACTCTACTTATAACCCGTATTAGGTGACTTATATCCCCACTTATAACTACACATGGACCTCCAAGCTGCGGTTGAGGGTTGAGGGCTTAGGGGGATATATTGTACCGAATACTTTAGATAGTTGTAGAGGGGGGAACTATACATTATTCGGGGGGCAGTCCTGCGCTTGGGTTTAAGTTTAGGGGATTAGACGGTCGTAAGTGAAGCCTCTTGGTTCGATCCTACAAGCGGAGAACCTCGGCTTCCTTCGCTAAATGTACGAATGCAGGGACCTAAATAATTAACAATATGTTGAAGCCCATGTCCGAACATGTGATACGGCTGTTTGGATGTAGCATGCTTTGGCTGACAGCAGTTGCAGGTCTTGAAGACATGTAAAGATGCGTCTAAAGGACATAGAGCACTGCATAGATCAGTTCAGATTTCTGGCTTCCGATAAAACGTTTGCGGCCGAGCCTTCTTTGCATGGAGTGCTGCCTGTGAAACGTGTTCTGGTTACCGATGTCTGCCTTTCATTCGCCCCAAAGCCAACGACCCGATGATGAACAACAACAGGTTATGATTGCCCAACCTACGCAGCGTGTTCTTGAAGGCGAAACGGCAGGACCAGACTACCAGCTGGCAGGTGATGTTGCCGAGGACCGTGATGGTCAAAGGCAGCAAAGGCAACCTCCGTTGCTTAACGGAATTGAGCGTCCTGATCCTGCGCAAGGCCGTGGGAGTGCAAGTCAGGATGTGACGCGTGAGAGAACAGAGGCAGTGCAGCAGGTAGCGAGCGCCGACCGTGAAGCTGAAGGGCCTTCTGCAAGTGCGAGTGATCTGGGCTTAGAGGGTGGTAGGGCTAGTGTCCGAATACCTGAGGTTGAGCGTGTGCAAACACCACTCACATTCGAGATACACACCCCCCCACCACCAGCACCACCAGCAGAAGTGCAGCAGCAAACACCGCGGCAGCAGCGTACTATCTCGGGGCCTTTGTTGTCTCAGGCTATGGGCTCTAGTCCGACGGCTATGAGGGCGGGTCCGACTATGCAACCTGACCGAGAAGGATTTCGTGAACAACCTATGAGGGAGAATGAGAGCCTGCCTGAAGGCTTCTTTGATGGAGCGAACATGCAACCTGCCAACCCGTTCAGGATTTATGGACGACCAGCTCCACCACTACCGCCTACTCCACCGGAACGTATGGATCCGGAGCGAACAGGGATGTGGTCAGGTTTGGCTAGGGCAGGGCAAGCTTTGAGGAGGAGAATGACAGGGCAAACCCCCATAGCTTCTCCTACTACAAGATCGCCTGGAGGACCAGCAGAGCAAGAAGGAGTGTTTAACCCCTCTATGGCGAGAGCTATGTATGAGTGGACGGCTAGGTCATCGCTGATTTCTCCGCCTGCTCCAACTCAGGCAGGTGGCCAGGACCTACAAAGCCACACAAGTTCGATCCCTCAGGAGCTGATCCTGCAAGAGGTGCGAAATCAAGTCAGGGAAGCCATGAAAGATAAGGAAGAGGAGCTGCGTGAGTTGAGAACCCAGAATCGTGATCTACAGCATGCCCTCCATAGCTCTTTGAAAGTGATCGAAGAGCAGAAGAGTGCTGAAGGCGGAGCGGGGCAAGTTGGCCTTCAAGATGGACGCTCAGGAGCGCGGGGCAATGAACTTCGCGAACAACCGGGGCGTGAAGGACGAAGCTCTACAGTGGGACCGTCTAT